TAAAATTTTTATTAATTAATTTAATCATTTTATATTAGGTAAAAATAGTCATAATAAGAATGATAATAATAATAATTTTAAATTTATAAATAGTTTTGTATAAAAAATTCCAAAACTCTTTTATTCTTTTTTTTTAACCAAAAGTCTACGGAATTTTAAAACGCATTTTTTTTGGTAAACATAAAATATATGGCGTTAAAACCATAGAACTTCCTTGCTATATAGCATGTAGTAGGTACTTGACTATATACGATATTATGATATGTGTCGTTYATAGAATAAATCTAATTAGCATCTTAAAATATATGTTTTAAACGTGGTAAATAATTTATTAGTTTAATTAAATGTAAGGTTTAGTTATGCAAGTTGTAGTTAATTCTTTTGTATACTACTATACCTATAGTTAGTATTCTCATAAATCATATTTTGTTCCCTGTTACTGTAAAAGTGTAAAAATAAAATAAAAATTGTTCAGTAAATAGTAGGTACACAGTACACCTATCTTTATTACTGGTCGTTTTTTACGATTGAGTATAATACAGTATAAGCCGTTTAATAATATAGATACATTATAGTTAGGGTATATGCGTTACATTTTCACAATAAATTCGTTGGTTTATYATCAATAAGAATTTGGTGATCGATAGCAGTAACTAACAAGTAAGTAGTAACAAATGAATGTTACTATTAAAAYGTGTGGAATCACAATCACGTATTCACATTCTATATATAATTGATGAAATTATATAATTTATACTATATTCTGATAACCTTAGTGACAAAATATTGGATTGAATCTTATTTTATTTTGTAAAGTAAATTATTAAATTCATCTAAATACTAACTCCATTATACTCATACTTAACATGTTCACCCTAGTATTCTTAAGCAGCGACTATTTGACTACTAAAATATAGTTATCCTAACATAGGTACACGTCTTTTGTCTTATTAAAAAATATTTAGATGAAATTCAAATTAGAAACCTGAATATTTTCGGATTTTTATACGTTCCCTTATTACGCATAACATGGCCAATTTTATGTTCAGAATAATTGATTTAACCCTATTATTTTTAATATTTGAGTAAATTTATCAAATGCAATATTGTTATCTAAAAAAAGGTCCCGAGTAATTATTTTTATATTTTAACTAGCTCTGTTATTCTGGTAAACCTCGTAACGAAAATACCATTAGTGGCCTTAGGTTGGGTTAAAGTCTACTTGGTACATACCTACCTAATTAAATATTTCTAGTTGTAAGTCAGTTGTGTAATAATGTTACCAATAATAACTTAGATGATATATATATATATATATWTTTTTTTTTGTAGAATAGCTGTTGAAAGTTGAATTTAGTTGTCTAGTTATCAGTCATTATCGGTATAAATCGGATTGAGAAATCCGTGAACAGCTAATTGGAGATGGGATCCAGTGCATATCTGATGTTATTACTTGTATGTAAAATAATGTAATGTTTAAAGCTGTGTTTGAGTCTTAATCAGTCGTTATCAGTGTAAATCAGACAAGGGGAAACATTACAAAAAAGAACTACCTAGTTGGTTGGAATGTCTACTTTGAGAATTTAATAATTAATGAATGATCATTTTAAATTAATTCAACAAAATATTATTGAAGCTTCATTATACGAGTAATTTACTAATTTAGTTTTTAGTAAGTACTCGTATAATATATTTCAATAAAATTTCCCCTTTTATCTACTATTTTTTGCAATATAAGACAACAACCGTGATTAATTTTTATAACATATTTATACCTATACAATTTTAATTTATACTAAAAATAAATTGCATTGGCCATTCACAATAAATAAATAGTTAAATTTATACATAATAACATAATACATAAAAATATGTTATAGTTGAACAATATATTTTACTTACGATAGTACATAAGCGGATTTTCCATTTCTGGACATGGAAAACCAACTGCTCGGAAATAGTCCAACATCATTCTCGTCGGTCCCGCGTAAACCAAGTCACCCAAACACAAGTAAGCAACGCGTTCGAGAAACGGAAAAACATCCGATCTTGGTTTTTCCATAGTTAGTATAACAGCTCGCCCTCTGCGCTTTGCGTGGCTGCTGACCATAGACACGACTAAGTACGTGGTCAACGGATCCAATCCAGCTGTTGGCTCATCCAACAACAATAACACTGTTGTGAACAAAATTTCAAATTATTAATTACTATTTTATATTTATAATTTTATATTAAATATAGAATTTTGTAGGAATAAAGAACAGTTTTTACCTGGATCTTTGACTAATTGCGTCCCGATCACTAGCCGTCTGTACTCGCCTTCGGTCAAAGCCTCTACACTGTGTCTGGCCAATTGACTGAGGGCCAAGTCTGCTAACACTTGTCTGACCCTGGAGTCTTTAACGTAGCCACTGACCTGTGAGCCGATAGATAAGTTAGCTGCGTAGTGTAGCGTTTGCTGTACAGACAATGATGGGACAAGATCAGCTCGATGACCAACATATGCACAACACTGGTTAAACATAGCTTGTGTAAGAGGCCTCCCGTCTAAGAGGATTTGACCGCGAGACAGTCCCTTGCTTCTTCTGGCAATGACTTCTAAAAGTGCTCGTTTACCACTACCTTTATAAAGTTGAATATTAATTTAAATTTAATTGTAATTTATATTATAATATAGCTATATGAGTATTTGGCACCATCTCTGAAACGGTAGCCGGTAGGTAATATAAACAATTACCAAATACCTATAACCTAATAACCTATTATTACTATTGTTTACGTAAACATAGATTAAGAGTAAAGACGTCAGGGCTTTTGAGATAAATTACGTAACAGTTTTATGTTTAAAGAAATAAAACAAAACATTTACTTATTACTTTCCTACAAAACATTTTGTATTTAATTAAAATTCATTAAATACAATATTTTGATCTTATAATATTTTGCTGAAAATTATGTTTTTAATTTGAGCTAATAAATCACAAGAATTTAAATTAAATTACAAGGCGTAAGATGCGTATACTACAATTACATGACTGTAGGAGTTTAAAATGATTTAATAGCATCCCTCACGCCTCTGTTTTTTTTTTACATCAATTAAAGTAGGCGGTATCCGGTGATAATCACAGCAATATAGTTTACCTTTTGACCCCAGTATGGCCATCACTTCGCCAGCTCGTACTTCCAATGTGATATCCTTGAGTATGAGTCCAGTCTGCACGGACCCAAACAACCTTTGGAAACATGAGGCGGGTTCCACTTGGCCCTTGTGGAATACATTGTTCAGCTCTAGAGAATAATCGCCGCCGATCATTTTGGATGGTTTCATCGCAACTGAACGGTGCGCGTCAGCACACAGTTATGTTGCGTGTGCAGCACAAGAACTGCTGGACCGAAACCTCTATCCATTTGTTGGCAGAAGGTCGTTGCCACTGTAGCCAACCGCGACCTGTCGTTTTCCTATATGGTACAGTAAGAGTAATTCTAGAGGTTAAAGACCGGTTTAGTTGGCTGCCTTGGATCGTACCTGCTCGCCGCCCTCTCAGGTAACTTGTGTGCAGGTGTCTCGGACGATTTCACACACCGCGGCAGTCCGTATCTATCGCCGCTTAGGTATCTATCCGTCGTCTGTGCGCAATATTCCCTCCAAATATGCTCTAAGTCGGGTATTCAAAAAGTGGCAATTTTTTTACATCGATCTCGATAATGGCGTGAGTAACTTAAATTCTTCAATACTTAAGTGCTGCATGATAACCTGTGCAGAAGCCACCATCGTAGTTCAGGAACCGTTCGATTATGGACAGATAGCTGATAATACGTTGTGCAGTAAGTCTATTGTGTATTTATGTATAGTTAGTGAATGATCTACCCATTGCTTTTTTTTATGCAACTAATTATTACGGGTATGTCGTTTTTGAGAGCGAAATATTATTTGAAAAAATATTGTGAACATTTTGATCGAATAATCATGTAGGTTTAAAATAGTGGGTAGATACGTGTCTTCGGACAACATCGTTGTCGTTTTCATTGTTTAATATAGGTATTGCAACGGGTTGGTCAAGTCGCAGGGGCGTCCCTCCATTCGACACAAACAATAGTTCGGTGAATGTTTATTTATGGTTTTTTTTTCTATAATATGACAACGGGGCGCGGTTGCGTTCCTATGGCAAATCTGTGATACAATAATAATATTATGTGGGTAGCAAAATTACAAAAAAACGGTGACCAGTCCCGAAGGAATGCAACGCGTTGACCTCTAAACTTGGCAAGGGGCACGATAATGGGTATTTGGTAATATATTATAATACCTGTTAGTCTTTTACACATTTACACATAGATAGTACGTTTTGGCGTCACATGGAGCTAGCGTTTACAGCTGAATCTTGGATCTATTATTGCCGTATGTTTTATGTTTATTTTTCACTGGTCATTTATAAAATACACAATTATTGGGTAGGTTATGAAAAAACCGGACCCACTTTAGGACGAGATTTTGAGAGCTGATGTCTAGTTGATGTCTCCGCATTTCCGCAATTTTTCTCTTAAACAATAACGTAACGTTTAAAAATATTACAAATATTCAATATATTATATTATGTTTTAAAACAAAAAAACCTTTGATGTTTCGTTTAGCATGAATATGTAGTCACAAATCTGAGAAAAGTGTTGTTTTTTCACTCGTCCAAAAGTAATAAATGTATCTATATAGTTGTATCAGGCGAGGTTAGGTTAACAATAATAAATATATTATTATCTATATATTTTAATAACATTGTCCTTCATTAATGCCCCCACAAATATTCTGCCTGAGTGTTATCATATTTATAAATTCGGCTGAAAGGATTGGTGATCATAAAATATCCTATATATTGTATAATTTCACATTTGAATTACCTTTACATTATCGTAATCAAGCGAAAATATTTTTAGTGGTAGAAGAGATTTAAATTAAGGAATTGGGTGACCTGAACAGACCAAAATATAGCAATTCAAACAAAATCACCTTGCTAAAAAATTTCTGGTTAGAAGTATCCCCCTTAACCCCTCGTATAATACTCCACTATACCACAATATTGCCATAAAAGTCAACATATTTATCACTTATGTATTAGAAACAATTATATATTTTGGTTTATACACGGTGGACCCGTGAACCATTTACATTTTAAAATGGTTAAAATTAAATGACTGCAGGCTTCAGGAATAATGTTAAGATTAAATACTAGTCATTTTTTTATTGATAATATTTGAATAAATAATAAATAGAAATCGTATCTTAAAAAAATAAGATAATTTACACAAATATTTAAGTAAATTATTTCACGATTTTATATCATAATATAAATATTAATAAACATCAGTTGATTTATCATTCATACTACAAATTAAATCATTAGTATTTATATATAATATATTTATATGTGTGTGTGCATTTGTAATTGTTATGTATTCATTAGCTTTAAGTTATAATTTATAGCTACACAACTTTCTATGTTTATGTAAATCTTGTAACTATTTGTTGTATATATTTTGTTTTTACGTGTTTAGTATAATATGCTTACGTATATTGTCATGTACCTATTTTAAATGTCACACTTGACATTTCATATTAAATATATACAATATTTACTTCCACCGAATATATTATAAATAACTGCAATCTTTTTTCTATGCAGTTTTACTGATTTTACTAATTCATTTTATAATTAGTTTTTACAAAATCTGACCATGATCTAATTTATTTAGTAATTCGCATTACAAATTACAATCAATTATAACATCAAATTAAGTTAGATGTAGAGAGAAATAAAGATTTATCAAACATAATAAAAAGTAAAATAACAACCTTATTCTAAATTCTAATATTATATTATTATTATGGCCTATAATACTTAATTATATTACATTATTCCTTCACGTTATACATTTTTCATCATKAACGTTTCCTTAGTATTGAAATACAAGTATACGGTACTTAGGTATTATACTTATAGAAATAATAGCACGTAGCTATTATTATGAAACCCGAATTTATAAACTGATTTTATTTATTTTGGTAAATGTAATATTACATATATATACTTCAGGCATTAATGGTATGATAAAGACTTCTATATAAATAGGTTCATATCAATCATTGAATATGTATGAATTTATAAAAAAAAATACAGTTTATAAACTACTCTTCAAACCTATTCGGCAATCTAAAAGTTTACAGTTGGTTTTTTAAAATAAATATTTAGCGTTATTCAGAAATGCTTGAATGAGCACAAAATTTTGCAAGTGAAAAAAACATAGGAATAAAAAGTGGGAGATTGAAATGTGCACTATTCGCAATTGAGTATATGTAACAATTATTTTAATTTAAGTGAAAAACATTTATTTCGTAGTAACTTCAAAATGTTTAAAAGTTTTAAATGATTATTAAATGCAATGAAGCTTTGAATACTGGATTTCAAAATTTGAACAGTGAAACTATACAAAAATAACAATAATAGTAAATGAAAGTCATACATTGCGAAGAAAAATAGATATAAACCAAATCATTTCTATTTAATTTATAAATTATATAATGGATATTTAAAAAATATATATCATTTGATAATAAATACTACATAACACCCGCTGTAAATGAACATTAAAATTTATAGCTGAAACAAAATCGTAAGTTTCATATTTTTAAATTTATTTCTGCTCGTTATGGCTTGTAAATTATTATTTTCATGAGGGTTTTTTACTAATTTCTTACTAGGTATACCTACTATTACAAGTTTTAACTTTTAACAATAATGTATCTTTTTATTTTAAGTTAAAATAATATTACTTTTGAAGTTTTGAACATTATTGAAGCGAGAATGCGTAAATTGTTATACAAATATTATACTAACTATTATTATACATACATTGTGTGTATGTCGTATGTAACATTTAATGATAATATTATACATATAAAACCGTGGTTAATATGCTTTTCGATTTACAAAATTGAATATCTTTAATTATTTTATTTTCATATATCTATCTATTATCCAACCTGTACTCGGCTATTATATTAATGTATCAATTGAATTATAAGACTAATCGATTTTCTAGTTTACAAATGAACATTAATTAAGGTTATAGATCTATTTTATAACAGGTCATTGAACGATCTGTGTCCAAGAATGTCATCAATTCCACGGTCAAAGACGTCAATTTTGTGATGATAATCGATTCTACAAGTTTATATATTTTTTTTTTTTTGGTCTGTCCTTGACACGGATATAAAAAAGATCATTCCATCGTTTGTCATTTGATTTTAGTTTTTGTCTTCTTTCTTTTAACCGTCGTCTTGGCGAGATATTTCCATAGCGTGAACAATCGCTTGGAAGAGAGCATTGGCATGTATTCCCGTGGTGCAGATATATGTACATCGTATATCATATAGGTATATATTATTATATTATATACAACGAAACAGATCTTGTTCCCAGGATCGTTCTAATTAGCCTCGAAAATAGCCACTGAATGCTATTAACGGGAAGAAAAAACACCAATTGTTTGGTTTGGGAACGAAATTATATAGTACCCATTCCTAGCACGAAAAATTCCAGGACATCTGACTATCTGAGTGGGAGATATATCATAGTATAGGGCGCACTATTATCAACGTACAATCATATATAATAGCTATGCGAGAACGGTACTTTTGTGTGTATATTGCGTGTATATATATAAATAAATATAATATGTTTATACCTATATACCTTTACCTAACCTACTGCAGCAGACAGTTGAAATATAGTCAATCAAATGTGTTCATAGTTCATATATATATAGTATTAATATAGACCAAAGTGGTCCATGGAATAGAGAAATAAAATGTACATATATATATAGGTGAAATAAACATTTTTAACGGTTCTATATTATAGGTAATGGTTTTGACAAAGTACATTACAAACGTTGTTTGAAACCTTTAAGACATAGGTACCGTATACATATAAATATATTATAATTATAAATATTATTCAAGATTATTGTTTCCCTACTGTTTATTTATGTTTCAAATTAGTTATTTGTGGAACACTAAATAAAAAAATAACAATGAAATTAATTGTGTTATATTATTTACGCAATAAAGGTCGATAACCTCTCAATAGTTTTAAAAATACAAATCAAACGCTATTATTAMGTACCTATTACCTATGGATGAGAACTGTTATAAATAAAATATCTAGACATTATTCAGATATTTTTTTACCACAAGGTATTAAATCGACTACAAATTTACAATAGATTTAAATCGAACAACTTGTATTACAATAGTAATCCACACAACTATGTTATCACTCATCACTAAGTTTTTACATTGTAGGAGTTTTGGATACAAAAATCTAAACAATTTAATTTTAATTCAGTAAAATTATTGCTGTTCACTTTTGATTTGTATATATAATATATAATATATAAATATATTATATATATATATATATATATATACTTATTTAGGTAATGATAAATATTATACCGTGCTGTATAGACTGTAAACGTCATTAAATTGAAAATTGTTTTAATATATCAGAAATTAGTAAAATTGAGCCAGCACTAGAAAATGGACGGTAATGTGCCAAAATATACCTACCTAATAACATGGACATAATTTGTTTTAAATAAAAAAATAGTTTAATAGTATTTTTAATTTCGATACCTAGTATGCTGCAAAGTAAATTTTAAAATTTACTTTGAATGTGGTTTTGACTTTTTGAGTTAGTATAACATAAATTACATACATTTCTAATTTATTACAATTGTTAAATACAGTTGGTCAATTTATGTTGTAAACT